TCCCCCAAAAAAAAAGTGGTCATCGGACAAAGAAAGTACCAAAAACAAATCGATGGAAGTTTGTGTTTAGCCTAGACAACTTTTCCCAGACCCAGGGGACACATCTTTCACTAGTAGAATGCATGCTCAGTTTGGGCATTTATACAGGAAAAAACACAATTTATAAATGAGAACTGATATAATTTCTTTTCATCTAAATATAGAATCTAATGTAGATCTATTCGTCATCCTTTGGAAATCGAAAGAAACTCAGATTTTGATTTTATTTGGTGCACTTTATAGCAGAACACCATTGACACAATTCGTGCTAACAGGAGCCATAATGCTTGTCTGCGACAAACGAAAATGCCTTGAACAATGGACGCAGTTTGTTTTCGTTACCGCGCGTTTCTCCAGCTGGTGACCCAGATACGCGCATCAGGGAGAAGTGCCATCTCTCTGTATTACTGTAAACTCTCTGATTGAACATAGGAAGAAAAAAAAAGAATAACATCAACACCGCAACAAATTGGCTAAACCAGGTCATGATGGCCGCGATCTGTTGTCTGTAGCCTACCCTACACGGTTCATTGACTTCCCCGGCGCCAGCACAGCACACCGACACCAGTCAACGCACACAAATTAGGTTATAACTTATAATTAGATTACTCGCGCAGTCTAGAATCTAGTTCACGACGAGTTCATATTAGTTCATAATGAGATTTTGATTTCGAGACTCTGTAGGCCTACACATTGTTAGACAGGAGCTGTGTGGTGTGCATGCCGGGTTTGTTTGTGGTTGTGTAAGCTTGGTGATTTTAGCTTTGATCGGGAGCGGAGGCTGAAGATCAGCTGAAAGTAAACTCAAAGCCAGCAGACAATAGGCTAGATCTACAAACTTCAGCACACTAGCCTACAGTCTCAACGTACGTGGGCCAACGCACAGCGACTTGTCTAGAAATTCGTAAGTTTGCCAGTCTAGATTTCTATCTAATAGATCTAAAGTCTAAGAATAAATTACTGAATTAGATCTAGATCTAGATCTAGATCTAGATCTAGATTTTAGATCTAGAAATCTAGATCTAGATATCTAGATCTAGATCTAGATCTAAAAGATCTAATTCAGTAATTTATTCTTAGACTTCGTTTAGGGTTTAGGGGGGGGGGGGGGGGGGGTAATCCATTAAAAGAGAAGAATGATTCTATTTAATTAAATTACTAGATTCTAGATCTAATCTAGATTCTAAATCTAGATATCTAGATCTAGATCTAGGCCTATTGTGATGTGTGCAAGTATGTTAGTTTATGGTGTAGATTGTATTTTTATAATTCTAGCTAGGGATCAGGATAGCAGTTCAGATTCTAGATCTAGATATATCTAGGTCTAGATCTAGATCTAGATTCCTATATTATATAGTCAAACCTGCCCTGACCGCCACCTCTTGCCACTGTACAAACGGCCACTTTCCATTTCCCCCCTTGCGTTTTTTATATAATTAACTGTGTAAAATGAGCACCTGTCCAACACGGCCGCGGCCACCATATTTTAACACACAACCCCTATAACACTAAGCAATAAACTCCTGTCTTAGACGGCCACCTTAGTAACTTAGTGACTCCATTACGTTTTGTCATAAATTGTGCATAGGCCCCTCCCACTGTTGACCAATAGGTAACAAATTTTCAGCTGCTGGTGAGGTAAGCGTGTGATCCCTCAAAACCCATAAGCCCCGCCCAGAACTTTTATACACAAATTGTAAGTGAGATGAGTCGCCACTGTTTACCCTGTCTGTGACAAAGTAACAAAGGACGTCAACATGAACTTGTGACAGAAGCTTCATTTGTTCTCCGAGTGGTGGCGACCCATGTGTTTGTTTTAACATGACACTCGGTCTTCCTCGTCTGATACATTTAGTTTTATTGTCACCCTTATGCAAAATTAGCAACAAAATAAAAATTACAAACAAACTACAAACCGCCACCACCAACAACAAAAACAGCACCACAACAATGCGGCTACTTTCGATTGGGTGATTGGGACCTCAGATGGGAATGGTTCATATATGTGAGACGTGCTGACAAAATGAGTTACTTCTCACAATCCACAAAAGGAGATATTGGCCACAAATCGACACTAGGGTCAAATTTGTAGATTTTCCATTGAAGTCATATTTCGAAAGAATAACACGCCTTATATTATTTCATACGTATAAATTTTAAAACTTCACCTAGAAGCGTGAAGTATTTATTTCCTTAGGGCTCAAATCCGAGAAGTAACTCATTTTGTCAGCACGCTTCACATATATTCTTCATCTTGATCAGTCCTGCCTAAGACGGCCACCTGTCTTATACGGCCACTTTTCTCCTTGACAATGGGTGGCCGTCTTACACAGTTTGACTGTATATTAGAAATCTATATGTATGTAAATGTTTTTATATTTATAGTACTAATAGTAGTGTGACTTCTATGGGCACCTAATTAAAGTAGTGTCTACGTTCTCTAACGTTAGAGGACATATAAAAGCTGTCTACGTTCTCTAATGCTCAGTCAGTGCTTCCAAGCGTGGCATCGATTCCTGGTCCCGGAAACTTACGGGGTATTTTTGGGTTGTTGTTTTTTTCCTCTCCTCCTTATTGACCAACTTACTTATTTGCCCCCGGACCCCCAACCAGGATGAGAATATAACAGTTGGCACGAGTCTAGGGGCCGCAGGAGGGCCCTGGATAAAGAAAATTTGCAATTGAAGAGCTAAGATTTGGCTTCTCTGATTCTAATATAAATTTTTTAAAATGACAGACCCAGGAAAGCCACTGTTGAAAATGTACTTTAACTTTAACCAGGCTTAAATTGGTAAAAGGAAAAGTAGGCCTATACACTTATAAAAGCTCCTCTTGGGGACAAAACCAGAATGTGCATGCTTCACCACTAAATAAAAGAAATTACAAAGCAACAAATTTTATTTATGGGGAAAATTGTTGGTCAGTCGGGAGGAGGAGAAGAAGAAGAAGAAGAGGAAGAAAAAAAAACAAAAACCTAAAAACTTCCGGGACTGGGATTCGAACTCACACTCATAAAGTAATTGTATCACTTCAAGCGCAGACACACTGACCATTCGGATGTCAGAACATCCAACGACCAGAGGTAGATTAAGCTTAGTTTAATATATATTCAGCACTGTTTTTGGAAAGGCAACAACGAAGATCAAGATGTAGACATCTAGTTTTCTACTTCTACAACAAAGAAAGTGAGAAAGTCAGAAACATTGGGATGGGAGGGGGGGCATATCAAATAAGGTGGCGGGCATCGGATCGGCAGATAAGGTCTGGAGGAAACTTTAAAAAATGGCGGAAAATTGGAAGCACTGAACATTAGAGAACGTAGACAGCTTGTATACATTCTCTAACGTTAGAGAACGTAGACACTTCCTATGATTTTGTGATGGTTTTTATAGTGGCCATAGATCTATGACATGTTTCATTATATTATGATTATTTTTAGCCTAATGTGAGCAGCCAAACTGTGAAGGTTTAGATCCTGCCTCCTAAGATACCGCTTGTCAAGTCTTCTGTTTGTGAGTGTTGAAAGTTAAAATTTACCACATTCATCTAGATCTATAGAGATCTCTCTATAAAATATTACTTTTGCACTTTAAAAACAACACAACCCCAGCAGTTTCGAGATAAAGAGGCTTTTTGTCAGCATATTTTTAAAAGGCGTTCTTCCGAAATTTGAATTTTAACTTATTTTAAACAGTATTCACAACATCACTTTGATTTTTTCACACTAGTACGATAGCTGATCAGGTGCCAAAAATGAAATAAGCTGGGTTTTTTCTGCTTACGGCAGTATAACTAGATATCTAACCATTGTTGGAATGTCAAATGACTGGACAGTAGCCTAATAATATGATGTCGATCTGTGAACATCTGGCGGACACTAAAGCAGTCACAGTGCTAATAAAAAATTTGTCACTCAATACTTGAAAAAAAACTGTTTTCCCTTTGGTTCTGTCTACTCTAACTCTAACACATCGCTGCTCCTCTCCTGTCAATACGCACGGTCAGAATACATGAAGACAGACAGAAATACACACTAATTGATACAGTTTTATAATCCTGGTCGATTGTACTTTGAGATGGGGGGGGGGGGGGGGGGTGGGCAGGATGGTGTTTGTTCGCAAAAAAAGGTCAAATATGTTTGTATTGACATGACAGCTTTTCATCGTTCGTGAATTTCTCCGATGGCAGAGACCAGCGGAGTATGGGACAACGCGGAACAAGCAGTGATTTTTGACAGATCGACCATTCGACTCGTTATCCCTTACACTGCACTCTGGCCCGAAGCTCGCCACTGAAAGGGAAAATGATGAACTCCAGTTGGTGCAACAGTGGATTAGAATATGACAAAAAATGTTATACCATCGGATGCAAAATTAAATACTCTATGCAATAATTAAATATTTAAAAATATAAAAATTTGTGGTCTTCCCTTACAACAGAACATTTTTCTTGTGTCTCTTTCTTCTGCTTGGCTATCTAAGCATGTATGACTTGATGATCTGTGTTATTTGAAGGTTGCTAGTGAAGATTTAGAGGACACAACCGCTAGTTTTCTTACATTCAAAGAAGAAAAGAAATCGGGGATTTTATTTCCTTATTAAATGGTTTACCACTGTTTTTGGTTTAACCATGTTCAGTTTAAGCAGACTCCACTGAAGTTCACATAAATAATCAGATATAAAAAAAAAAAAAACAATCTGCGGAAAACGCAAAGTTGAAATTTCTGTAAATTGGATAAAAATAAACAAAGAAGTGCAATGCAATACCTGAGCATGGGATAGAAGTGAAAACAAAATAACAAAATAGTACACCAAATGAATTGAGTCTAGATTTATACAAAATATGGAGATCACAAGATTCAGACTAAGTACCAGTAGTAGTCGATTGTTTCATCTGTAATGAAAATAAAGTGTTGCTGCAGAGGTTGTCACGCTCTATAATAGTAGAGCTTTATAATGATCAAACACTTGACATGACAAGTTTTATTCACTTGAAAAATTGAAAGTCGCCATAGGCCTACTTTTGTTCAAGAAGCCTCCACTGCGGCAAAGTGTTTCAAGCATCACCTTGGGCCTGGAGTTCAAATTATATCGACAGCTCAATGTAAAACTCCGTCATTCATCACTTTTCACAGTGGCATATATGGCAGTCTTATACTAAACAGTTGATTTACAATTTTATTATAAGATTATTATTTGTGAATTGTTGCCAAGGAAACATTATTTACAAAAATAGGTGTTCCAAAATACTATTGAATCTTAGCTTTCTCAGAAGGATCAGATAAAAATATGCATTGAATACATTATACTGCGAATGCTGGGCTCTTTTTTCACGCACTCTTTTTTGTGCACTTTTTTCCCCTTTAGTTTTTTGCGAACATTTTGCATTCAGGATTTGAGTCGACTGTTGTTGTATATATATGCTCTCTGACTTACTCCTAAATGTAGGCCAATACAGTCACCTCATTTTTATGAGCCATGAAGCTCTAATGTCAACCTGTGCGTGAAACAAGTTCAATGAAAGCACCTCTTTATACATGTGGATCATGCTGAATATATGTGTATGAGCCTAGAGAAAGGTACCAAAAGTCGTCCCAGACCGTTTCGAGCTACGGGTTGATAATGACAAAAATCACGTTTTTTGACCAAAATGTGTTTCCATAAAAAATGATAGATCCAACATTTTTTTACAAAGTGCTAAAAGGGTCTTCATTGATTTGACTTCAAAATGTTTTGTTTTGAGGGAATGGTATAATACAAACATAATGAAAACTGCTTTTAAAAGGTGTTAAAATCTTTTGTTGAAACACGTTTTCTCTTCCGTGCTATGTTTTACCATTGAATTCCATTCATGATATATTGATGTCAACTGAATGCCAAACTGGAAATGAAATTTCCAACAATAAATACATTTAAAAAATCGTTTTTTTTAAAGTTTGTGTGTTCTCACGTTTGTTAAACTTAAAAGCTCATTTTCTCAAGATTAAATTTTTATACCCTCCCTCACAAAACCTGCTGAAGAAATGAAAAGCTATCGACCCATTTCACTCACCTCATGCATCGGGAAACAGGCAGAGAGAATGGTCAACCACCGCCTATACTGGTGGTTGGAAACAACTGGTGTCCTGGACAGCAACCAAGTAGGATTTCGTGCGGGCCAACGAACAGATGACCAGCTCTTCAGGCTCAGTCAGAAAGTCCTTGATGGCTTCCAGGAAAAGAAGCACACAGTTGCAGTATTCGTTGACCTCCTGCAAGCCTATGACAGGGTATGGAGAAAAGGCCTCCTGTGGAAAATGACACACACAGGAATCCACGGGAAACTCTACAGATGGATGAAGACCTTCCTTACAGACAGGACGATCCAGACCATCATTAACCATGGTGTGTCATCCAAAGCTGTACTGGAGGAGGGCCTACCCCAGAGTTCCTCTCTGAGCTGCACACTTTTCCTTGTTTTCATCAACGACCTGCCTGAGATACTGATTATATCGGAGAAGGCCCTATATGCCGACGACCTAGCCATCTGGCATACAAGTAAACAAGCTGGCATCAGTGCACGGCTTATAAATGAGGATCTAGATAAATTCAACAACTCGGCAGATAAGGTCTGGAGGAAACTTTAAAAAA